TCTTTGAAATCCTGGAGAAAAAAAATTGGAACAGAAAGAGGCGGTGTAAAAAAACAAAATCCAACTGTGTATGGTCACTTATTGATCAAGCTGTAAAGATTGGTCACTGATCATCGATTGGTCATAGTGTGTGTCTGACTAATGTTGGTTTTACAAATGATTAACTCTCCACACAGATCTTACGGCTATAAAAAGAAACTAAATCCTAAACTTAACAGAAAGTTACAAAACAAATCCGCACATAGAGGCTGATTTACAATAGATCTCCTGAAAAAGTCCAGAAAATTGTTGTTTTGCATTAAAGGATTAGCTCCTCGCATTTCAGAGCTGGGGTTATAAAACCTCGCAGTTTGCTGACAGGCTTTAAGGTCTGACACCTTTCACAACAACATTTAGACCTGTGGACAAAATGGTCAATCTGTCCCTCCACAGTGTGACGACCCACAGAGCTCCGGTCACACATTAACTCACAGGGTGCCTCGAGATGCAACCTCTCCGACTCGAGAGACAGTCTGTTGGCTCAAGTCACCCTGACTTTACCAAACAGACAAAGTGGAGCAGACGAGTGGAACTGAACATCACGTTTTAATGGCGTTTTGAATGCTAACAGCTCCCCTCAACACAATGCATGCAGTGTGAGGACGTCTTAATGGGGAAATCAATGTCTAAACCTCAAAATACACTACCAACACAACAGATCATTCTCATTATTTTATGCACTTAGTGAGTATTCTCTCTTCATGGAAGATTTCAGAGGTTTTATAGTATAGCGCTAACAAAGTTTAGGAGACAGCTCTGTATCACTTACCTTGCGTTTGACATCTGATGCTACGCTAAAAAGCAGCGAGAGATAGAAGCCTAGTTCGATCATGTAGTACCAGTACTGTGAAGGCAAAAGTGGCTGCAAGAGAAAGAAAAGCTGTTAGAATAACATGCCACAAATAATTTTACTTATGAGTTAGTTAATGTATTTACTAAATGAATGATGGAACTGCTAAAAGATATACTTTCATACTTTTCAGCATATCAAAATGGCGTATAAATTGGTTTTACAAAGACACAATATGAAAATGTTTCAATCTAAACGTAATTGAAGGAGATGTTTCAGGTGATGACATACCATTTTCGGGAAGCCATCCCACATCAGCTTCATATCATAGAACCATGGTTTCTGAGGAGAGAAATATAATCAATATTAATGAGGATTTGAGTGTCCAACACAACACCACAAGAACTCAACAATGCACAAACAAATACAAAGTGGAAAACAATGTCTGAGCGGTATCCAATAATGTGTCCACTACAGTTACAATGTAGCCTCACATTACCCTACTCCTCTCTCTACTCCTCTCATGTCAACCCTCCCGTTTTCCCCGAGATTCTCCCATATTTTTTCGTTCTCACCCGCTATCCTCCGATTTAAATGTTTCCCCGTAAATCTCCCGTATTTTTAACCTTTATAAAATCAAATAAAAACCCGCTGTGTTTGTTACTTTCTCCTCTGGTAAACATGTAGACTGTGCTTCTTGCACAAGGATAGAAAATGAAAACAATCCACTGAAATGACCACTATAGCCTACTAGTATTAAACCACTTGAAATTATAATGAATATAGTAGCCTAACTATAAGTAATATTAACAATATATTCTAACAGTATAATATGGAATTAACATTGTACGTATTTTCAAATCTCACTGAAGGCAGTTTTGACTCCTCTCTGTAGACCCGCTCACTCTCTCCACTACTCTCTCTACCCCCTGAAGCCCACAGAACCTGCTTGAGCTTCCCAGAACAAAAAGCAGCTACAGTAGTTTATCATTGACTCAGGATACCTGTGCTCCTTTATCTCCTACTTATTTTGGCTATAGCCTTTTTTGTTGCAGTTTTTATGGTTGTAGTAAATTTATAAAGATGCTGTTTGTTCTATTTTTGTAGTTTATTCCACAATAAAGCTATATTTGTTACTATGTAACCAAGCAAAGGCTGCTATGGTTTAAGGCTCTAAGACAGATTGAGCAGAATTTGTTGCCCATGTTTCCAATAAAATAAACAGTTGTCATTTCATGATACTTTATCATCCGTTAACTTTAACACTTAATACATTGCTTTTAGGACTAATTAAATAAATATATAGTATACTGTAGAATGCTACATGATAAATAAAAGGCTCCAAATTGACCCAGTGATTGGTATCGGCCAATACCGCTTTCAGCGATCAGCCCAAAAAATCCTGATCGGACCACCTCTAACAAATGCTACCAATGCCAACCAGATTCTGACGCAGTACTCACGTCAATAAGGGCTGCCAGGCCAGCAAAGAAAGCAAGAAGGTAAAAGGTAAATCTCCAACTGTAAGAGAATGCACAGCGATCTCAGAAATCCAGGAAAACATAATTTCACACAGCACACAAACAACATCCCGCCTGTATACAATGTTCAAACAATAATAATACCTTTACTTGTATAGCGCCTTTCATGCAAACACACAGCATAAAGTGCTTAAAAAAACAAGATTGGATGGAAATAAACAAATAACAGTAAGTAAAAATGCAAAAATAGCAATAAGAGAAAAACAAACAATACAAAACAAAACAGGTTGAACACAATACAATAAAACATTAACAATGATAACAGCACATTTAACCCAACAATGGCACAAAGGAAAAACAACAGGACATGTCCCAACTGTGCTCATGTTGGTGCTGGATATTCCTGTCATCAACCTGTGCTCTGTGGTGTTTAAAAGTTTTGACAAACTTTTTACTTTAATTTACATTAAATCAAAAGTAAATGATAACCTAACAAAAAATAATTCACACATCATAGGAAAAATAAAAATTCCAATCACTAACATTAGGGCTGACCCCCAATAGTCGAAGATTCAATGGGCGGAGCCTGATTCGACTGTCAATCTCACAGTTGAAGCTTTGCAGCGAAACAAGGATCATGCCATTTTCAGGGGTGCTCAACATCTGATTTTACACAGAACTACCAGTTTTTCCCAATAAGTTAATATACAGCCTATTACAATATACATTTCAACGTTTAATGCTGTAAATAAACATGTAAAAAGAATAAAACTTTCAATAAATGTTTTTAAAGTGCGTAAATAAATCCAAAATTGTAACCCTAACCCTGGGTCGTCAGTGCGCATGTGTAGGCGTAGCGTGCGTGTGTGGTGGCGGAAGAGGAACACTTGCTGAAGAGACTGAGCCCCAGCTTCACTGGTGTTATGCAGAGTTTTCCGCACCTCACCGGACTTTCGGATAATTTATCACCATTAATGAACCACACAAAGAATATTAAATTGTTTTTAAATAGCCAGCTACTTGAATTAGACCCGTGAGGAACCGCGATGTGCATGTAGTTGTCGGCAGCACGGAATCCACACAAAACTCTGCACAAGACCGGTGAAGGACAGGCGAGAGAGAGAGAGAGTAAAGGGTCTTCAAAGAGACTCAGTTTAGCTGCAAATTTACAGTAAGTTGAATGAATAGAGACTGCAGCTCTGCAGCTTCTCAAGATTAAAGCAGAGCTACCATGTGTAACCCCCCCCCCCCCCCTTCTGATTTGACTATGTAAATCCTTAGTCAGGGAGAGCCCTAATTAACATGTATGTCACTTATTAAAACTCAGCAAACTCAACACTGAATCACTTTGGGCAGAGAACTCCCTTCTGATCAAGGATGGGAAACACCTGGATATTACAGTCAATGTGCTTTAGGTTTTGCAACATTCTTCTGCGTGAACATACAGTAAATATCCTCCTATTCCTGTAGATTGTTTTGCAACAGCATTTTGAGGAATGCTTGCTCCAATTTCGTGGGTGTTGTCAGAGTTGAAAGCCAATGCTCAGATTAGGAGCACCTTGAGGCATGTAAATCATTTCAGATGTTCTGTGGTAGCAGTAGGTACCAAAGCCTCAAAACATATGAATATTTTTCCCAGGTAAAATTATTTTGTAATTCACAAGAAAAATGCAAAGATTAGAGCAAAGTCTGAAATAAGATACATAATTTTGCATTGCAGACATTTTTGCTTTCCTACGCTGTATCTCTAACTTGCGAGCACTTGCAGAAAAACGTTTTTAGATTTGTGTAACCATTTCACCTCATGTTTCCAACAATGTTCGAACACAGAGAAATCCATAATTTTATTCAAAATGCAGTGAGTTTCATTTGGTTGCCTGTCAATGGCGTCATATCCCCTTTACACCCTCTAGCTGCTGCAACTTCCGCGGAAACACTAGCGAACGTGACTATACATAACATGAATAAAGGTTTAATACACATGAACATGATTTTTGTTTGAGTCATGTCAGATAGATTTTCATCAGCAATGGTGGTTAACAATGAAGACTCCCATGATCTCATTCTTCTTAACAGCATCTTCAAACTACGCCTTTTGTTATTAGGTGCGTTCAAGAAGACGGTGGCTGACTTTCGCCGACTTGATGTTCTAACGTGAGCTGCAGGTGACTGCAGGGGTGGGATATAAAAACGGCGCCATCAAGACGGACACATTCTACCTACGTCAGCTTGCTGTGAGCTTATATCAATGACTGATCCTACGGCATTTGCAAAGAAAAATGCAGCGAGACTAGGCAATAGTGTGGTTCCAACTTTCTGTAGCCAGGGAACGACGCCTGCAGCCGCCTTGATCCCGTGAGGTTTAAATGTCATGTGACACGGTGACGTTTTGCAGCACCGGTGAAAAGTTGAACACAATTTCTAACCAGCATGCCTTATTTTAAGTCCAGCATGCATCACGTTAAGTCAGCGCTGCGCAGCGCCGAATGAAGTCAAACACACCTATTGTTTTGACGTGAGAGACAGCCTAGAGGCAGAAAATGACACACTGTCCGTTAAAAGAATGTGGAATTTGTAAAAGCAAATCATGACCTCTGCAAAATCCCGAACTGAAAATACACTCAATTACAGAATTAGAATAACATTAAAACAATATTTCCTTGTCACTTAATGGTTAGTGGTCCCATTCAATTTCCAATCCAAACAAATTGTGGGAAAGGAATAAAATTTTTTATTTCAAAACGAGTAGGGGAAAAATAAGCATCCTTTACATCTACTTTAAGATTAAAAGCAGCATATCAAAGAAAAAACAGACAGATTAGAATGAAAGACAGAAAATTGTTTGGGGGTAAGGGGGTTGATGAATTTGAATTTGAGCTACCTCGCTTCCCGAAATTTTGTGAGCTTGCTGGGCCGGTCCTGGTTTCTCCGCTGCCTGAACCACCTCTGGACCTGTCGCACCGTACAGCCCGTCTGTTTACTTAAACTCTCTATGGAGCTCTAACAACAAGAGGCAGAACAAGGAAAGAAGAGTCAGTGTTGTCTTTAAGACTTGGCTGTGAAGATTTCTATCATCTTGCCATAATCGTACATTTACACATCAACACACCAACATCTCTGACTTTTATGATCAGGCTCAAGTTGCGCTACACACAATATGCTAGTTTCTAAAAAATATGCAGGATGATTACCTGTGGGGGATGCTTTGATGTAGTGCAGAAATAGGACTCCAGGACGGGATTATGAGGAGCACGAACACACTGCTTGTCACTCACTCCCAGCAGTGAGGCAAGAGGGATCGCTACAGTCCTGGAAAGAGGACAACACAGTGGGATTGTAAATAATTGCTGGGACATCATCTCATATTTGTCAGAAAAAAAACATGCAAATCAATTGAGATGTAGAGGTAAATATGGCAGGCAAATGTGACAAGACATAAATAGCCATTGCTGGAGGGGACTCACCTCTCGAATATCTGTCTAATGACCAGGAAGCAGAGAGCGATGGGTACAGTAGCCCAGAGGTCCCGTGGTTTAGGGAAGACTTTGCCATCATGGTCCTTCAAATCAGCCCAGCCGTGGCCTTCGGGAAACCAAATCCAGTCCGCCCATATCAGCTCATTCAGCCGGGACAACATCCTAAAGACGAAACAGTGCGAGAAAAGGATTTGAGGGTTTTTTTTGTATCATGTGGAAGGAAATTAAGAGGTAATAAAAAGAAGTCTTTGTTTGCCAGAGATCTCCATTCAGACTTTTCATTCCATAAATTCAGCAACTCACTCAGCTGTGACAATATCCTGAGAGGAAGGATAGGTAACAGAGAGGGCTGAGAAGAGTGAGTATTGATTGGAAGTGATTAATCTCAATGGGCAACTTCCTGTTCCAAATGAAGGAGAATGATGAAGGGGAGGATTTTGTCACGCTACAAACACAATTCAATCAGAAAACCTATGAGAATTTACTTGGAGCTCCAACCTTTTTCTATGCCTTCAAAAACATCAACTATCTCTGCAGCTGGATAACATGTTTACTCCAGACACACACTCACTCCTGCGTTCACTCATTTTCTACTCCCTAAATAATGGATGCTCAATAGTTTAGTCAACGGCAGTAAATTGAGATAACGGACTGTGGGATTGTTAACATAAAGTAGTGTACATGCAGTCATTGTGGAATATGTAGACAGTAAATATAGTGCTTTACCATTAACAGACCTTCTATATTGTAACCCTCTGAAGGAAATTGGATAATTAACACGCCATGTGTTGATAATCTCTTGAGCACGATCACTTGTGTGATTCTCTACTGACATGAGTGTTAGTCATTTCCCCTATAACCTCTATATAAGCCAAGATTGAACAACAATTCTGGCCAACTCATTAAAATAAACCAATGTGCTGTGTTATGTCAGAGATATAATCTTGATGTTAAGAAGGAGGCAAGACAAGCTTACCTGAATAGAGCCTTTCAACAACAAGGCAATTCAAAGTGTTTTACATAATAATACATTAAAACGAGATTAAGGCCATAAAAGGCAAGGAGAAGACAAATCAGTAATATTTAAAATGAGATGAAATACATCTAAGATGTGCTAAAATGTAATATAAAAGAAGAATATAAATAGTGCAGCGCAATAACAATTTAAAATTAAATGTATGGAGAGTTGGATCAGACCTCAAGTTAACTGGAACTTTATTCATAATTGTGCATAATGACAACAACTTTTTCCACGACATGCATGATCCCCAAAGGATTAAATGTAATCACTTCTTTGTTCGCATGCCCTTCTATCTAGCGCATCATCAATACTTTGGTTTATGACAAAATACATGCAAAATGAATGCTGTTCCCATCAGTCTTAGCTGCACTTTGAGTTTAGTGCTACTTAACAGACGTTATCATTTAGCTCAAAGCCCCCGCGGTGCCCAAGTGCAGCCTCACAGAGCAGCTAGCATGGCTCTGGACTCTTTACTCTTGTTAAGGTGAGAGTAATAAATAAATAACCTTATTTATACAGCACTTTTCAAAGCAAAGTTACAAAGTCCTTTACATGGTTGATTTAAACATTTTACGACAGCAATAAAGCAAATAAAATTAGACAATTAAAATAACAAATAATAAAATGAAATACCCAACACCAACAAGAAATAAAAACAATTAAAAACCGATTAAAAAAAAAATCAAACATGCTCTAAGATTGGTTTTGAGAAGGGATTTAAAAAGATGCCACCAATTCAGCTATGGTGATCTTTTAAATCCATTACTACAACAAGATTTCTGGCTTGGTTTGTGGTCTTTAACTTTGCCTGGCTACTAAAAAGGAGCAACACCTGATACTTATCAACACAGAAGACACCCTTAATGCTTTGTTATTAGTGTGCAGAAACAGAAATAGGATATGCAGTCAGACAACCTGGGGTGACATCAGTGCTGGTGTAATTACTGGCAACTCCTTGACAGAACAAAAAGTCACCTGTTGACTTTTACAACATCAGATCAGTAGATCTTGATCGTCATATTACCTCATACTTGCTGCACCTTTGCTTCCGCAGTCAAAATTTTGTGTCAACACAGGAGCGTCTTTTTGAGGGAAATAGTTCAAGAGGGAAATTCAGGTTGTCACACATTTCCTGATGGATCCCTTAATAAGGACTGCACGTGTCTGGACTTTAACCCCTTATAAGCTTCCTATGAATGCACAGTAGCTTGTGCAGGCTGCATTTGTTAGCGGAGGAGTTTTAGGAGTTTTTTCAAAGATTGACACAACAGTGGTGAAATATCAACTATCCTGTCTTTTAAAGTTAATCAGTGTGTCGATTTCAGTGAACCTGCCGCCTCCCGATTTGTCAACTCTCACTTTGAAAATCTACCACAAGCTCTTAGTTTTAGTTTACTCAAAGAAACTGTCACTGAAATAAACTCTTCAAAAAGGGAGAATAGGCTTTCTGTGAATTATGTTAAAAAGCATGTTAATGAGTGCACATTTTGTACTAACTCCTGGAGTGAATTATCAGATTTGGGTGAACACACAAAAGGTTTTTTGGAACTGGAAACCACACTTGGCGATGCAGAAGCTCTCAGGTGTACATCCCACTTCTTTTAATACAAAGTATACAATGTCTCACTTTCACTGCATGTGATTGCAGATGAAGATACATTCCCAAACTGGCAATATTAAAAACAAACAGAGGTAAGGTGTGCACAGTAAATATCCCTGTGTGCTGAGATGCTTATGTGTGGAAAGGTTAAGTTACAGCAGCACCAGCCACAAATTTTCTAATTTAAAATAAAAATAGAGTTTAACAGTATAGCGTCTGCTCCTGTTGGTGTGTGATTTAGTCACGAAGTTACTGACTGGCGAGGAACAATAGTTGGCAGAAGAACATGTTGGGCACAAGCGCCTTAACAGGTGCAACTGCTGCAAACCAAATTAAACAGTGTTCTTTGTTAGCCAAGCTATGTTTACGGATCATCAGATGAAGTGGAATAAACGAGAAAAAAACCACTAGCCTGGTGTAAAACGATCAGCTTAGACCTTTCAAATTAATCACCTGAGGGATTTTTAAAAGAAAGCACATTCTGGACTCCCTTTATGCTATTTCCAACTTGGAAACAAAAGGACAAGCGTGTGTTGACAGTATTTGTGAATCTATTATTGAAGATGAGGTCTGCATTAATGGGTTTGTTGCAATATCCTCTATCTTTTCTAATGCTGGCTGACATTTACACTGACATTACGCCATTCAGCTAATGTTTTCACTTTACCAAATTGAGGACAGTTTTTGGAAAGACCAAAGTGCACAATGCCACTTTAGGCACCTACGGTTAGGGCTGCCCAATACGGTAAGAAAACAACAACAACAACAACAAAACACCTTGTGATTATTTTGACAGTTATTATTTTCACTGAAAAGTACTATTAAAAACAACAATATGACATTTGTTGGGGTCTATAATAGGACTGGACCCGAATATTCGAACGTTGGGTACACATTCGATTTTCAATTATGAAATTCGATTATTGAGGGTTTTTTTGCGCGCCTGACCTCTGCCGACAGCAGTGAACGTAACACTCCAGTTCACATTAAAGGGAAAACGAAATTAAGCCCTCAGCTTTGTGGGAGCCCTTTAAACTGAGTGATGACAGCAGTAGTGTGGAAGTTATGGTGTTTATTGATTTTACAATTGCTTAATCTCATTACAGATCAAAACAGTCAAATTTCCTACATTTTAAAATTAATCAGTATCAAACTGTAGGCTGGAAACAAACAGCAACACAATGAATGCATTTAAATAAGCCTAATTATATTAGGCCGATTGTAGAAGAAGGGCATTTTGTCACTATAATTAAAATTAAAGTGAATTTTACAGTGAATTTTGCATAATAACGTGTTAGATTTAGTTCCGATACAGGAAACACCGCTCATCCCGTGCGCTCTCCGCCTGGATCCCCGCCCGGCTAAACTATTCCCGGATTCTGCTCTGGACCTGCTTGGATCAGACTCTCTGCTACGGTTCCCCCTGCTCTGTACAGCAGCCACCAACCCGGTTCGGCACGCAAAATCACTTCGATGCGAAGCTTCGATTATTCGCTCTTAATTACTATCGAAGCATTGAAGCTAAAAAAAAATGACATTCGGGCCAGCCATAGTCTGTACCAAACAAACATGTTTCCTACATCGGGACAACAAGATCTGTAGTGTCTCTCCAGCACTACAGTCCTTCATTTTAACGCTCTTCAGTCACACATTTTACCTTTATCAAAAGAAAATTACCAACAGTTCAATGTTTGTGAACAGGAGTGACTTAAGCTTCATTTTGAATTTTAATTCATATTTCACCATCTATTCTCCAACCTTTGGTATACTAGTTATCACATTATTTGCTTTCTGAAATTAACTGCTTCATCCTCTCTTAACATCTGTGACATCTTCTAACCTCTGAGAATGGCATCCTTGCCTCCTGTGTGCATGTGTAGTCTGTCCTCTTCCCACCTAAATTAGCTCAGTGTCTTCTCTGATCCATATGAGTCATATATTTTTTTCACAATAATATAATAATATCAGTATTATTTTCTGTGTATTTTGCGTATACTCCATTTAACACGTCTGCCTGTCAACAAATTCATGAGGTATCTTTCTTTTAACCAGTTAAAAGATAATCCAGCGATTTAGTATGGCATTATCTACAGTTGAAGGACTCTCAACAGACAGATTAAAAAAAAAAGGTCAAATTCTGTGCAACAGAGGCCAAAATAACCTGACATTAAGACCGCAGTACGGGTCAAGCTCCAACAACACCAGATTCTACATATCCCAACTCAACAGCATCTTTTGGGTTGGACATAGATGTAAATATACCAAACACAAAAAAGGCCTATATAAGGAAAAGAAATGCCTTCACTGGTTCACTAGGTTGTTTGTCCCCAATGCACCTTAAAAATGTTAAATGTTTTAAGCCCAGGCTAAGATAACCCTGATATCATCACAGTCATTTTTTCAGACTTTGGACAGCTCTCCCCAGAGCCATAGAAGACATGATACAACAGTTTTCACAGGTTGAGCATTAACTCCTTGTGACAAGTTAACTGAACATCACGTGTCAAAATCAGTGGAATAGTTTTTTTCTTAAATAAAACCTTGAAGGACAAGTGTATGTTACACAGGCTGTTTAGTCCTTTAAGACAAAGTTGTGATGTTGAGGAATGTAAATAAGATTGTCTTGACTTGCCTACAGGACAGAATGAATGACTCATAATTAATATCTATTTCAGACAGCCAATGCTCCTCAGTCTTAAGTGAAGCTGGAGATCAGTGTATGATTTCAACTGTCAACATTTAACCTCATATAATACTACACAAGGACGACTAAGTCCTCAGCTGACATTACTGTCTTTCAGAAGCTGTGTCAAGCTCAGTTACCTTTGTTTAATTTGAAAGGGGACTAAAGAATGCTCCAAATTTAGGCTAAATCTTGGCAAAGAAAAACTGGTACGGCCATTTTAAAAAGGGATCCTTTGATCTCTCACCCCAAGATGAATGAATGAAAATAGGTTCTATGGCACCCAATAGTCTCCCCTTTACAGTTATGCCTTCTTTTTGCTAATCCCATGTATGTTTGGGCAAAAAACACTCAGTTTTTTTACATACAGTATAAATCTGTCACGTTATTTTGGCCTATTCTAAAAATGGTGTTTTGAATATTTCTGCATCCTGGGGTCTTTAAACAGTATTGGGATTTAGTACATTGTTAATGACTGGAAAGCTGAGTTTCTTGTGTATTCCATGAGCCCAAATGTATTCATGTGCGATGATGTTAGTCCCAGTGGTATCCAACCCATTGTAAGGAGACCATTTTTTAAAACTTGACCTCACTGTTTAAAATTAGGTATTGTGACTTGCAGGATAACCGCCACCTCATGAAACCTTAAAACCACAAACTAGAGCCCTGGGGTGTTCAGAGAATGTATGGCTTTCTTATGAATATTGACAATAAGGATGTTTCCAGAACAGAAGTGCTTGCCATGCAGTCCAATTACAGAAACTTACAGATGTCAAAAGGTTTTGATTTTAACTTTTCTATCGTGTTCCTCAGGATCTTGGTGTCTTAATGTGATCTTTTTGAGGTGTTTTTGACCAGTTTAATACATTTTATAGAGGTCAAAAGCGTTTACATTTGCACCAAGTCTGTAACACCACAAAAACTGCTGCAACAACATATGAGACATAACTGAGTATGGGAAGTGGCATTAAATTATTACACTTACTTCTATGCCTTTACACACTGTAAACTTTCAAAATGTAAAGAGGCGCTTAACTGAAACACAATGTTTATTACAGATTTATGACTAGAAAAATTTGCCACAGTGCTGAGCTGCATCTCAAATGAATCTTCACGTTCCCACTTTTTAAATTATTCATACCTATACGTGTGGCTTAATACTGTTGACCTGCTATCCCCCTGAAGACCCACAAAAGAGGAACAAAAAGACAAAAAGTGTCTATGTTATGGAGGAGTGGTGTGGAGTGGAAGAGGTTTAGCAGTTTGTCTGTCACAGCTCTCTACGCTGCTTGCGTAAACTCATGTAGGGAGTGGCAGAGTTTGCATGCATGGCGCAAGCGGGGAGTCTCCCGGACATAGCGGAACAGAAAGCTTGACAAAGTGAGATGGAGCTTTGAACAAGTTTCCGCAACGCCAAACCAGTTATAGCTAACTCGTGCTAATGCCTATTACAAAAAGGGCCACATTATTTTGGATCACCCGTGTACTTAGAAAAGCCGGGGAAACTGTGCTTGGCGACATCTCCAGTTTACATTGAAAAAACTTCCTTACGCATTCATAATTTGAGCCATTAGCGATATAACTGGCCGTTTATCATTTGGAAACAGCATATGTATTCCTCCAAAGGCAGCCGCTACGCTTTGTTGGTTAGGCGACAATTCTTTCATGACCTTTCCTTATCGCGGTACTGCTAAACAAATATCACCGACATCAGGACAAGCAAAGGCCTGTTAGCAGAGCTAAACTTTGATGTGCGAGTTCCCTTAACGTCTTCCAACGGCTGAAACCGAGAGGGTTCCGGTTACAGCGTGTCAGCAAAGTTTGATAAGTTAGTTTACATTATCACCCGCTTAAAACTTTACATACTCTTCTACATAGGTCTTAAAATAGCAGCCCAATGTGTGTGCCTGAGCAGAAATCTATTATTTGAGGCTCTGAATGATCCCCCGCACCAAGGCTTTTACAGTCTTTAACGTTAAACGTTGACGAATGTATCGTCTATCGTGTAACGGTGCAGCCAACTTACCTCTCTTCACTGTGTGCAGGCAGGTAACTTAATGCAGTCTTAAAATGTAACGTTATGCCGGCTCTGCTGCTGCTCTTCCTCTGTTCCTGTTGTAGCCAAAGGGGTATTCATGTAGTTCTCGCCATCAGACACTCAAACTTGTTGATCGTTCAATGAGCTCCAATCTGCTTTTTTTCTTTTCTCTAACCACAGGTTCGCCACATTTCAGGAGAAAAAAAACTGTGTCGCACTTTCTCTCCAAAACTCCACCTTAAGATCGTGTCCAAATTGGACAAATATATGTTTACTTTTATACTATCTGTCTGATTAAAGTAATCTAAATGGGCCTCGGCTTGTTGCCGTTTGACCGGCCAGTTCAATTGGTCAAATATAGTGGATATTATGGTACTATGTTGAAAGAAGACCGGGGGGAGGGGGCGGGAGCATCTATTTAAAGTGACGTGAGCCTCTGCATGTATGAGGGGTGGTTAGTGCTACAAGATGGAGGCAAACATTTCCTCCAGGCCATAGAGCAGTGCAGGGTGTGTTCAGGAGCTTGTAAGTTGTATTGTGAATTGGAACGAAACGTAAACTACAAAGAAGACGTGCTGTTTTTTTTATTGCTCAGAGCGTTTAAATAACACGGTCACAGCTGTTTGTACTAAAATATTGCTTTGCGGTCGGAAACAAATTTTTCAGATCATTCTGACACCACATGACACAGCGTCATTTGCTGCAGCAGTCACATTCAAGATCAACGTGGCTAACTATACCTCAACTCAGAGGAGCAAATTGATCATGTCATTACAAGAAATACCTTTAGGAAGTCAGGTGACATAGAATCTGTTCGAAACAGAAGGCAGTTGCCTCGCTACAATAATAGACAGGTGCCTCAGAAGGAATTACTTTCGACTGAAGGCATTTTCTAAGAACATTGGTTTTAAACAGCCTTTTAGAGCAGCACTGTGTGATGTCAGCACTTGCTTCTCTTCTGGCTGTCTGTCACTAGCCTTAGCATCAGCTAGCTAGCTATTGAAAAGGCAAATGGCTAATTAGATCGTTCAGTATTTAGTTCTCACTGACTTTTCAAAAATTTAAAGCAAAAAAACGCACTTAAAATTTTCAAAACACTGTATTTGTAGACAAATTCGGCCTGGTTGTCCATCAACTTGTCAATTTTTCGTGAGCTACCGCAGGCGCACATTTATGGGTAATAGGCAGCTTAGAGTCAGCGTCAATGCTGCCTTTAAAACTGACCATTCAGGGGCAGTTTGAGGGCATCTTACGAAACAGGAAAGGATTTTTCGATCTATTTTGAACAGCACTTGATGCCTTAGACAGCATTTCTACCCATTTCAAAGACAGCCATAGTATAAGGAGTCCATCGAGGGAGCAGGTTCAGTGGATGAATGGCTCAGCCACATGCCTTCCATCTGGTAGATTGGAGTTCAGTTCCTGTGTGACCCTGAAAATTAATTTAACGCAAACTTTTTTCTACACCTAAACAGTCTTTCAAACACATTGTTCACGTTGTGAAACATTTGCAGGACACACACAAGCACTTTATGTCATTAGTAGTGGAAAGTAACAGAGTAAATTTACTGAAGTACTGCAGTTTTGATGTACTTATACCATTACTTACTATTTTAAGTCACATTATAGTTCTACTCCACTACCATTTCAGAGGGAAATATTGTTGTTTGAGTTCATTTGATAGCTTTAGTTACTTTGCAGATTCAGATTATTATTAAAAAATATAAGTAAACAAATAAAATATATCTTATTATGGATTAAGCTTCCCAGCAGTAAAAAAGTAGTTGAAATTAGCTCCATTTTACCAGCTGCAACAGTAATGATACACATGAATGCATAACTAACAATAATCCAGCGATAACATATTGCATAATAAGTAATACTATTTTTTGCACTATAAGTATATTTTGATGCTGTTTCATATCTTGGCCAGGACATCATTGTAAAAGAGATTAAAAATCTCAATGGATTTCTTTCCTGGTAAAATAAAGGTAAAATAAATAAATGATGCAAAAAATTTTGTAGTTTTACTTAAGTAAAATCTTGAAAGCAGGATTTTTACACTGTGGCATTGCTTCTTTTACTTAAGTACTTCTTCCACCACTGCCTAATGAGTACTTTTACTTTTGTTACTTTTAAGTACTTGCTGTTGAACGAATCACTGAACATGCAGCGTCCCCTCGCAGTGAAAGAATCTGAGAAAGTCTCAGGCTCAGCCAACCATTTTTTCACATTTCAGGTTTCACTACACATCGTCAGCTGTGGAAGGTGGTAAGATTTTAAAACAATTCAAACATAACCTTGCTCATCTTAAATGTATTCAAAATCTAATTACAGATGTTGTTTATACACTATATGATACAATCCCATGTCTCATATTGTGTCAACTTGGTCTCAGGTAACACACACTAATCAAATTCTTTAAATCTTCATAGCTGTCCTCTTTTCAAAACAGCCATTCTCACATTGTCTTTGACATTAGCACCCAGGAGACAGAGTGAAATATCAAGTCCTTCTCTGAAGACCAAGTTTGTATTCATGAGCATCTTTTGCACACGTGCAGCACTGTGCACAGTAACGTTAAATGTTAGCCTATTTGTATAATATCAATCTAGATAATGAAATAGGATTGACGTTCAGGACCAATGTTGAATCGCTGAAGCTAAATGTAAGCAACCTTAATCAGTTGTGTATTTGCTGTCTTGAACACATCCGATGAATACATTATCACTCACTCAGTGACTGTATTCCTGCACATTCCCTCACAACTGACTGAAAGCTAAACTGACTGGTATGAACGGATTGTTTCAGGAATTGATTCTGTTCAGTTTGTTCACCCAAAAGAATTGTTCTTTTTAACAAATCGTTCACTAATAACAACACTGTTCCAATACTAGATTCTCAAGCTACAGTTTTCTGAAGCTACAGTTTTTCTCATCAAATTTCCGCAGTGTTGTTAACAGAATAGTAGTCCATTTGTGTTCCTCATTCTATGTCCACGTGGCATTAATCACCCCGCATACACCCAAGCATGCCAAAGATGGTGGAAGCATGTTCGGACTCATCAGACCGAACCCAAAATGCAAACTGCAGACACATCCAAGTTGAGGTTGCACACACCTCAGCCTTTTCCATCCTTTTCATACATGAGCTGGATATTTATATATACGTGGGGTTTCATCAATAAATCATGGCGGGAGCTTGCTGAAGTGGGATTATTACTGACTTAACGTAATTATGTGCAGTAAAAAGGGGTAGTAGCGATAGACTTGTAAACATAGTCCACTTACCAGTGACAAGTTATTCAAGCAACCACAATAAAAACACCAAAAATATTTCAATAATTTATGTAAGTGGTAAGTTCAGTCCACAGGTTCAAATACCACCCAGACAGGAGACAAGCTGTTCACTTTCTTCAATACTTCTTCAGGCCTATAGAGAGCAGCAAACTCCCCTGCATATTTCATTTATCAAACACCCAAATCTGAGGCAACATTTTGTCTATTCTGCTGTCTGTTTGCAAAACAAATGAAACAAAACAAGTGTTTTGAATTGCATTTGATTTGCCTCTAAGGAAAGAAGCCCTTCTTTGGTAAATCACATGATGTGAAGCAGACAGTTAAGCAGACACACATTAACTTTTTTTTCTAAATTGTACTTTATTTTCTTTTAAAGACATATGTTTTAAAACAGCGATTGTAGAGAATAAATAAAGAAACATGTTTTTTTACTTCCATAGGTACATTTATGTAATTAAAAACTCTATAATAAGTGTGTTCATTGTCTTGAAGACCACAGGAATCCTTTTTTTCTTCTTCTTAAATTAAAAAAGAAATTGTCACATCTCCACCCTCATCAAATTGATTACCAAATAAATTAAACGTAAAAAATCAAGATAGAAAAATTCCCAGCCCTTCCTTCCGCTTTGTTAATTTGAAAAGTAGTGGCAGCAGAGAATCTTAACTTGTGAAGTTTTAAGTCCTTTAACTCCATCTTTAAACCAAGGTATGTACAGTGAGAGGAAATCCATTTCTCTTTCAGTTTCATTACCCCATGTTTTTAATTTACCTATAAATAATAAAACTAACTCTACATTACAATATTACCAATGGTAATTATACAGAATAGTATTTTCTTTTGCCTCCGACTGTGCAGACTGGCTTTCTGTTAACGCCATAGACCACAAATCACACTATACAGTAACCCTGTTCAATAGAATAACATCAGTGATATGCTTTTTCTTAACATGTAGATCTTGTTGCCGTCAATAGAGTATGTACACAATATAAATGAATGCAGCTGCGGAATGATAGGAAACCTGGAGCACTTCTGATATTGCGGATGCTGATTCTGTTGATGTATGTGTTGCTGATATTACTGCTGTTATTGTTTTTGTAAGCGCATACACGTGATACTGCTTTTTGTGAAGTGTAGCTCCTGTGCTATACGGTTGGTCAAACAACCAAAAAAGGCTGGGACATCCCCAAGTGGTTTTCTTGATTGAACTCTTAGGTTTTCCTGGAGGTAAAGAAGGAGAGAAAGAAAGAGAGAGAGAGATACAGAAAAAAAGAGCACAGAGCATTTTAAACCAAATCACAGCAATTAAACACATACATTTAAGACTGAGGAAGTGGAGTGGTGTCTGCAATACACACTGCTTGCATTGATGCCTCAGGGGAGTCTCAGTAATCAACTAGTGTCCATGCAACTCAAATAGTGACAGTCATACTGCTGCAAGTGTATGCACGTTCTTAGAAAATAGTTTATCTCTTTTTGCAGGCAAATTAATTCAGAACATGCACAGTAGGAATTCTGGTGGGGATAAACTCTCTCATTTTTTTTAGAAAACAGTTGGAGATTGTTTTACATTTATTCCAATGATATTCAGAACCATGTAATTCACCCAACTGTATTTCCTCAAGGAGGGAAGATTTGAGATTCAGCATTAAAAATCATTGTGATGTGGTTGCTGCGAACAGGGCATCTGCAGGTACCAGAAAAATCTATTTATGACTTTTTATAAATGTATTATGTTTTAATGCCAAATTTAAGACCAATTGTGTATCAGAGCAGTAAATGTGAACCTTATGTCTTTATATTTGTATATATAGACTATATTAAAAAAAAACTTAACAAGCAGTCATTACAAATATTTCTGTAAATTAAAATTCTGATTTGATACCAAAAAGATATAAAATGTCAGGGTGAAATTAAAGCTGGAGTAGCAAATTATTTCATAAGCAAATACCCCAGATACCCTGTGCATAAGACACATTATGTGTTTTTTATTATTATAAATGTTACGTGGCCATTTTTGGATATGTTAGAATTTGAATACTATGAGTAAATTTTTGGTTATTAGTATTGTGTTTTTTGTAGCCCAG